CTGCCACGGGTTTTGCTGGGGCTGAAGGAAGCCTTTCTTCTCTGCGTGTGCAAATGGATGCATATGGTGAATAAGGACTGGTTACCGGGGGAGACAGAAGGAGAAGGGCACAAATATACAACGCAGTTTCCCTCTCCCCTCCTGCTAACCCATTTAGATGGTGGTGATGGGTTAGGTATGGAATAGACCCCTGCGATGCTTGCCTCTGGCAATGAATGTGCATAAACTGCCAGAGCATGATGAAAGCTGGGATTCTGCCAGCAGCCTGGCACCACGTTGTGTCCTCAGTTTCAGATTTACCGTTAGACGTGCTCCTGACTTGCTTTTGTCTTTGCCTGCTTTGACCTTGCAAGGCCCTTGCATCAGGCCCGAGCCCGCTTTCCACCAAGTGCAGTGCTTAGTGGTAAAAAACCAGCATCCTGAGTGACGGGAATTGAGCTAGAGTTATGCAAGCACGACACCAAAATCCTTGCAGCAGGCAACTCTTGAATAGATGGACGGCTCAGCACTCAGAATCAAATCACGCTGTCGTTTTTAATAGAGCTATTTTAACATCTACAGATTCCCTTCCTTCCCCAAATATTACGAGCTCTTAATTCTCGGTTCCAGCACTTCCCAACCTTTTTCCAAGTTTGGTTGTATTGTTGGCAGCTGAATCTCATGGCGGTGAGTTCCACAGGTTTTTTACCAGTTTGGCAATGAGTTTCATGGGCTCTTCAGCTTTCTTGTAGCATGGGTTCGATGTGCAGCTGAGGCACGTAAAGGAAGCGTGTGCTGACTAAAGTCTGTCTCCACAGACATATAGACCAAAAAGCATTGATCTCTCACTTATGTACCACTCAACCTGTGAGACTGCAGACTCATCTATACATTATCCCATGCAAGTGAAATCTGTATGTAATTATTTTATGACAAGACTTTCTTTTTTATGGCTAATGAGTAACACAGAGAAATCAGCTGCTGTCGAAGTACAGTGTGGGAGAACTTCGCACGGTGCTGTCGTTCCTGATGTACAGAAGCAGTGACCCTGCCTCCTTATCTTGGTGTCTGTCCTGAAGATACAGATAAAGCCCTCAGCGAATCCATGCTCACCAGCCTGAGGACGAGCTCTGCAACAGGAATGCTCTTAGTGCAAGCCACGTCAGTACCCACTCATTTAAATGTAAAGTAATTAAATTTCAAACCACTCTAGTTCCTGACCCAGAGAGATGCACCATGGCTGCTCCTCATTGCTATTCACACATCTAACACAACCTCAGGAAAAAAAATGGCAAGAGAGAACAAAGTAGAAAGGAGTAAGAAAATGGAAAGCAACCTTTTCAAAGCTCAGACAGGCTCTGACAACAGCAAAGTCATTCATTGCCAGCTCTTATCTGCAGCCACTGTGTCAGTACAGGGTGTACCAGGGTGTGATCGTTGTACCAGTGGGAATTCTAAGCTTGGATGGAAAACTGTTATTGACAGCATGATACAGGTTAGTCAGAGACACTGTCCTCTGGGACGTGTTGCTTGCTGCTCCCCTTCAAAAAGTATGTTTAAAAATTAATTAAACTAAATGCTTAACAAATAAAAGAAATGCGTAGTAGTTATGCATTAAATATGCATCACTAGTTACAATTATAATGATTTATGCTACTGCAGCCACCATCCCATGCATCTTGTTTGAGCGTTTGAAGCACAGGAGAGCTGGCTTTCAGTCTCGGCTCAGTCACCAGCTGTCTGCAACCAAGTCACTTTGCCTCGGTTTCTTATCCACAGAGCCAGGGCAGTAATAATTGCTGTTTCCTGTAAAGCTTCAGGATCTAGAGTCTAGCACCGTAAAACATCCAGTAATAGGAACAGTACAAGAAAATGAAGATAACGGAAACGTTCAATGAGTAATCTTGTGCTGCTCGTTTTTATTCTGCATGTGCTTGTCAGACTACTCCATGCTGAAGATTTATAAGCATTTGCTTATCCATAAATTGTGGAAAAGATTTAGCTACAGATAAATGTGCTACAGAGGGTAAAAATTTGATTAAAAACTTTAGTTAGAGTTTCACAAAGCAAAATGACAACAGTAAACATCTGGGGATTTCTGAATGCAAGACAAAAGATCAAAGCCCAGGTTGTGACCAAGACTTGCAAGCAAAGCTGCAAATAAATGCTTGGATCAGCAAAATCATTCTGAACACAAAGCAACTGAAAAATGACAGCAGGTGAAATGGTTACACAATGGAAGTACAAATATTCACTAAAAATACGCTATTGGCATGCCTCATATTTCTTAGCCTTCAACAGGATTCATTCTTTAAGAGGGAAGAGAAGCTTTTCAAAGGGCAGAAGGACTGAGCACAGCAGCAGAGACTGAAACTAAACTTGAATTTCGTAGAAGAGGATGTGAGAAGTCGGGCTGTGGTTTTGTGTCTTTACTAGCTTCACTGAATGTTAGCTTCATAAAGCCAAATCCTATGAAAATGTCACTTGTAAAACAATGGAAGCAGCACTAGGATAAAATATCAAAGCAAGCATTAAACACAATAAATACAACACAAGGTACAAAAGTGATCAGTTAAAGAAGACTTCAGGATTGCTATTTACCAAAGCAGTCAAGTCTTTCCTTAATAGAGAGAAACCAGTCTTGGCACACGAATATTAAAAAACAACAACAAAACAACAACAATAAAACCTCCATAGTTCTTAACTTCATAAAGATGCCAGATGACAGCGTGTATCCTACATCTTCATATGATTTCCTAGACTTGTACTGTGGGGAGCCCAAATTTAGGGTTTCCACCTCTTCCACTGGGGCCTGAGTCATGTTCTTCCACATCAAATTGGATCAAAGGACTGGTGGGGCTAAAATGTCAGCTGGCAAAACATGAAAAAATGGTATTAATGATGATTTTTCAGGCAGGCGTTTCCCTGCTTTGAGCCACCATCTGGCTCACAGTGTCTGGGACCCCGGCGACAGAGGCAAGGAGCTTCCATGGCAAGGGTGGGAACTGCACAAACTGCAGCCGGTGCCAGAAAATAGCTCACCAAAAGGAACTTCTGGGAAAGGTGGCCTGAACAAGAGAATTTAAACGCAAGGGCAGACTGCTAATGTAAGAATGGGAGGCCACTGAGCAAGGCTGGTCAAGACGCTTAAAGAGGGAAAGGAAAGGAAAGGAAAGGAAAGGAAAGGAAAGGAAAGGAAGAAAGGAAAGGAAAGGAAAGGAGGAAAGGAAGAAAGGAAAGGAAAGGAAAGGAAAGGAAAGGAAAGGAAAGGAAAAAGGAAAGGAAAGGAAAGGAAAGGAAAGGAAAGGAAAGGAAAGGAAAGGAAAGGAAAGGAAAGGAAAGGAAAGGAAAGGAAAGGAAAGGAAAGGAAAGGAACATGGAATTTTGTTGGGAAAAAAAATAAAATAAAGGGAAGAATTAAAAACCTGTGGCACACTTTTCAAAGAACGGGGATGCAAACACTGCAACAGCTTTCCCTAAGCTAGAGTAGACAACGTGGTAAAACCAAGAGCTCCAGAGAAAGTCACCAAGGGAATGCATTAAAGAAACAACCATTACTCTTCCATGGCTGATCACTGATGACAATCACTGCAGATGTTTTGGATATACTCACATTCTCTTTCCTGGCTTTTAAGCACTCAATAATTAACTCCCAGCGATCTGTCACTCTTCACGTATCATTTTGTTGGTGATGACTCACAACCATTCCTTCACAATTACTCTTTCTCAAGGTTATTTCCAGATCTACCACTTGACATAACCAGAGAGTGTAAGGTCTACACCTGCTGATTTCACTTTTGAATTTGAATTCTGTTTTCTTCAGCAATAATTTTAACATTAGCACTTGTCTATTTTCTGACCGAGTTCCAGTCTTCTTTCATCAATCATCATCTTTAACTTTCTCTGATTGCATTAAAACATTTGGAAAAAAGGCAGCTTTTCACCATTTACAACTTCTTGTACTTAAAAATTTTTACGTGTACTTATTATTCTTATTATTTAAATCTTGTATTTAAAATACACAAAGATAGCATTTTTTCCTTGCAAAGGCTGAGTAAGCCATTCCCAATCTGTTTTGTTGTAGAAATCTCCTTTTATGTGTACTTTTCTTTCCCAGATAAAGTTTAATCTTTCACTTCTAGAAGCTGAGCAGGATTGCCAGTGATAGTATACACATGGATTTCATTACATCATGAACATCAGCTTTATTTTCACTGTATACACGGAACATCCATGTTCTGTACTCACTGTTTGCCTTTGTCCCAGCATTCATCGGATTATGAGGGTGGGCTGAAGCAGAAAGCATTCTGCCAGGCTGGTTTATCACTGGTGATTCCCTTCCGATCTGTAGCACTGGAGGCTGTGGTAGACATGACAGAGAGGCATGGTAACACCAAACCCGTATCTCATACCTCCCTGCCTCTGTTTCTGTAAGCACCATAATGTTGTAGGCAGTAAATGACAGGAGACAGTTCACAATTCTCCCCCGGCAGCAGGCTCCACCCAAGGTAACAGGATTCTCTGAAGCGCATACTCAACCAGCGACCGTATGCCTTGCGTTTACAGTCATGCACTGGCAAATTCTCAGTTTGATCACGGAGGCTTCACCCCTCGAAAACCAGCTTACTGGAACAGCAGGCCTGCTCTCAGCACCAAGCAGCTGTGGATCTCAGAAGCACAACGTTGCCTGAGCTGTAAGACCCCGCTGCAACCATTAACGAAGATTCATGACGGCCTTTCTTTGGCCTCCCTGCTACAGCCCCCTGCTTTGCTACCAATGCTCCTCAGAGCACCGACACCACGATCAGCAGCCACCACGTTATGTCAGCTCTTGGTGGTGCTTTCCCAGGCTTCATTTTCAGAACTGCAGACGCCACCTCCTCGCAGAGAGCAGATGACTCCGTACTTTCCTTGACATCATCCTCTGTCCCAGGCAGCTCTCGGGGCGCAGGCCGGCTGGCACAGCACTCGGCAGCTCCGTTTGCAGCAGGGGCCTGCACAGAATCACAGAATTTCTAGGTTGGAAGAGACCTCAAGATCATCGAGTCCAACCTCTAACCTAACACTAACAGTCCCCACTAAACCATATCCCTAAGCTAGATAAAGATAAGGTCGCCCCTGAGCCTCCTGAGCCTCCTCTTCTCCAGGCCTTGTCCTCCTGCTCCTTCCGTGCAGCCAAGCCCTGGGTGAAGGCCTCGGTGGGACATCTGGCTGCAGGGAGCACGCTGTTTTCTTTATGATTCTGAAGTTCTCGGTGTTTGCCTGTGCAGCACCATGCCTTTACTCAGATTTGTGGGAGGCAACACAGAATTACCTTGGGCTCGGCCTGTAAGACAGAGCCTTGCTCCGTCCTCAAAGGAACACCCAGCACACAACGTACTGGGCTAGTCCACATGGCTGGCAGCAAAAACCATTTTCAATCCATTTCTGGAATGCAGTAGCATTCGAAATAAGAATAATACTTAGCAAATATTTTGCTTCAAAGCCTGGTAGAATAGCAGAGGGTTTATAAAACATCTGGAGTATCAAAGCTGTTCCGTGACAGTTCTTGGGAACACACGCGCTATTTCGACACAGCTCAATGAGAAGGAATCACATGAAAAAGCAGACTTTGGTGTTAAGCCTTAGGCAAAAAGAAAGAAAAAAAGAAAGTAGCTGCACCTTATGATAGGCACTGGATCGGTGTTTTCAGTTTAGTTTCCCGTCATCACGAGGCAAAATTCTGATCACTCGGGCCACCTGACGGGCACCTTCCCTTAAACGCCTCATTGATGAGTAAAATGCTACTCAAGTTTTGCTAGTGCCAGTTGAGCACCTCATGTAACGGCTGCGTAATTTTTTTTCAAAAAATGAAAAGCAAATACACCCAGAGAGGGGGAGCAATGGACAGGGTACCAGAGATGAGACTTCATATGAAATCCTCTTGGAGTCCTATTTAAAATGACACGAATCCTGGCTTTACAGACTGTAGATGAAGCGCGTGCTGGGAAGAAGTATTGTAAAAAGTGTAAACTAAAAAAAGACAGAGGGGAAATAAGTTATATACTTAAAAGGAAACTGGTGATATTTGGAGTTTCACAGGGTACAGACTTGCACAGTGCGTGCATAGTATTTCTGTGAACTTCGTCAGCACTTTCTTCTGTCTAGAAAAAAAGTGCTAATGTTATACAGGGATTTGGAAGAGAGACAAAGTGTACTAGGGGTTCAAGCTCAAAGACTCTGGACTCTACAACTTAATGCTTCCTATAATCGTTTGTTTGGATGTCAGTCCCCAAAACACCTTTGCTTCAATACTCAAGCTAGTAAAAATTACTGAAGCAAACTCTGCCGGGAAGGCTGAGTTTGTTATCGACGCCTAACAAAGAGGAGGGACAATAGTAACGGGGACCTTGTTAATGATGAGCTCTTTCAGATATGGTGGCAGTCCACCAGCGGGCTGATTGAAAAATTGGGAAAGGCAGCATGGACCGTGCTGAAATAACCACGGGTGCAGAGGAGCAGAGGCTGCACCTGAGGACAGGCTCCTCTCTCTCTGCGCTGCGGTTGCCTGAGCACTTCTCGTTGCAGTCTACCAGCAGGTAGTGAGAGTTATACTTTGGGTTTCACAGGCTTTTTTCTTTTTTTCTTTTCTTTTCTTTTTTTTTTATTCTGGTAATCTTCACCCTTTTCTCATACCTAGGCTTTCTGTAATTGAAATTTCCTGTGCCTTGCCTTCCCTGAGAGAAAAACGGGGGCTGGGAAGGAGGGGAGGGGGAGGGAATCTGTGAGTAGAGCTAACTTCTGAGCCAAGCCTCTTTCACCAAACCTCCTCTTACCTCTTCATCTCCCCCCTCGGCCGCCCCCGGCCCCGTCCAGCCCCCGAGCTCTCGGCCCCGGCCGGCACCCCGGGACCCACCCGAGACCCCACCGGACCCCCGGGAGGGTGAGCCCGGGGCCGGCGGAGGCCGATCGGCGTGAGGGGAGGCGGAAAACGGGCCGGGCCGGGGCGGGCCGGAGCCACCGTGCACATGCGGGAGGCTCCGGAGGGCTGCGGGCTGAGACGAGCGGGCCGGCCCGCCCGGTGAGTACCCCCGACGGGGCGGGCGGGCGGGCGGGCTCTCCGGGTGGCTCCGGAGCTTTTTTGGGGGGGCATCCCCGGTTCCTACAAGCCGGCTGAAGGCAGGGGGGAGCCGCCGTGCTCCGGCAAGCCGCCGTGCTGAAGCGTGAGGCTTCGTTGTGAGGGGCAGAGGCGGTGCTCAGCCCCCCCCTCCTGCGGCTCAAGGCACGCAGCGACACCCGGGCAGCCCCCGGGGCTCCCGCACACACGGCTGTGCCCCTCGTGTGCCGCTCAGAAAGACATTTTCTCCTCTTTTTTCCCACACCGGCGTGGAATCTGGGGATTTTCTATTTTTTCTTTTTTTTTTTTTCTTTTTTTTTCTTTCTTTTTTTTTTTTTTTTCTTTCTTTTTTTTTTTTCTTTCTTTCTTTTATTTTTTATTTTTTAATTATTATTATTATTATTTTTATTTTACAAAAGCCTGCCGTGTATCTTTAGTCCAAGCAAAAGCCTATTTCTCCTTCTTTCCCTCCTCTTTTGCCCCGGTCGTGCTTAGGACGGCTGGCTGCTCTCTTTTGATGCTGCCTTGAGTTATCCAGCGCCCGCCCGGCGAGCCAGCGCCTGAAATTACTTGAAGAAACCCCGCTTTTGTGTGGTGACTCAGGTGTTTGGGGTACAGTTGTGCTGCCTGAGGATGTTTACAGCGCCGGGGCGATTTCAGTTTTTTGGAAAGCAGGGCATTTACTTGAAGACCTCGGGCGCTGCGATTGCTCATCCCGAGCACCTACAGACCTGGGCGTTACGTGCACCGCTAGGGCTGGGGCGCTGCAGCATTTGGGTCTGAAGAACCCCTGGATTTAAATAAAAAGCACGGTGTTTATGCATTTTGGGCAATTCTTTTGTATTTCCCATCATATGAGAGTTCATTTTCTTAAAAAAAAAATGTGGGATGGCTCCTGTCTCGTTACACAAAACCAACCCGAAATAACTTTTTTATGTATTAATACACGTACCAAACGTTATATTGTCGATGCGTCTCCTGTAAGTGCCCCTCCGCAGTAGCAAGAGGGGTGATCAGGCTGTGAAGTTTCGCTTTGCAGGGTTGCTTGAAATATGACATCAGGCTGTTAAAATAACTGCGTCTCTGCCGCGGGTCAGAGGCTATGGAAAATGGTCACTGGTGTGTGCTGTGCCGAAGGACCCGAGGCGCTCTCGCTGCTGCGAGAAAAAAAAGGAAACAGTTGTGAATGCTGATAAAAACATCTCAAAAGCTGTGTGTTGTTTGGTTTATCCTTAACAACGTGCTCACTACCTATCTCTGCATTTTTTTATTTTTATTTTTTGTTAGGGTAGAGTTAAATGTTCATAAATGAGCTGGGTGTGATGTTTTTCACTTTGGAAACTCATCTGAAGGAATTACAAGGTTGCTAGATCCCAAAGTCATATCCGACATTTAATGCATGATACTTCAGCTCTGGGAATCTTCAGTCTGTGTTAATCACCCGGCATGAAATCAACTCCTTTGGCTTTGGGGAAATCAACTCCTTTGGGTTTGGGGGCATCCCTGGGAAGTCTGGGCACGGGTCTGCTGAAATGTTTTTGGTAATGGGCTGCTGCATCCCTCACCTGCAGCAGTGGACGCCGTATCTGACTCCAGACTGACAGTCGGGTTTTCCTGCCTAGCAGACGCCCTTAGTCGCTCCTCACTGTTCATTAACTTGTCCTTAACTCCCTCTCCCTGGTGTTCCCACAGCGCTAGGCTGCTGCCTCCAAATGCGTGCCACGGCTGCCTGCCCCTGCGGAGATGTGAGAGGTGAGCCAAGTGTCCGGGCTGGGCGCTGGGAAGCACCAGGCGTTTCTACCACATCTCTTCTGCTCTGGATTTGGCATGTTAAACGTTGTCTTGGGGAGAATAGCACATGTTCTTACCCCCTGAGAAGCTGCAGGGGGTGGAAGGTGAGGGGGCATCATGGAAATGTCTGTGAGGATCCCCAGGAGAGAATTAAGAAGCTTGAGAGTTGCTGTTTCTATGTACTGGGTGTTCAAACCTCCCTGGTATGATGTGTTCTTTCTGCTGAAGGCCCTGCCAAATTTTGGCTGTTAGGCAGCTGCAAGGAGCTGGAGAAGTTTACTTTAAAATTTTGGGATCTATTCACTTCTGCACAAAAGTGGAAGGCAGGAGGTGTGAGAGCAGAAATGCAAAAGGGAAATCTTCATCCTTTGCACTAGGGGTACTTAGGGTCTGCTCTGGGTGCATATCACAATAAGATTTTTGGTTCTGGGCTTGCAGGGCATCTTTGGGAAGGAAGAGAGCAAGAATGTCTGTTTTGAAAGCGCAGAGTTGTAAAGTACCTGCAGTTCTGATGTTCCTCTAGCTATGGTGCCTGTCTCTAGGGAGAACCGGGCTGAAAATCAGCAGCTGCACAGGACAGCATCTTGAGAGTCACTGCGCGATGTCAGCAGAGACAGTTAATTAGAAAAGACCCATTAAATAAGCATTTTGAATTTTGTGAAGTTAAAAAATACTACCAATATTTTAAAACGATTTTTTCACTTTTTAGGAACAGGTAAAAGGTACTCATTTCTCTGTAGGAAGCAAAATGTTATTTGCATGGATTGTGCCTGCAGCAGTTTGTTTGTTGATGCACTTCACAGCAGGTAAGCCTTTATATATATATATATATAAATTATCACTTAAAAGAAGCACTCTGGCTACTTATTTTTTTCTCTCAGCAGTGAAAAAACAGATCGGATTGGTAGATTTTGTCTCGGGTTGTGCTTTTTCGTACAGTAACTGGTAGCGAGGCTTTGGTTTCTGATCTCCAGGTAATCGGATCAGTGAAGACTGTGCACAACAATATATTATGAGTTACATATGCAAAGACAGGAATTCTTACATTAAAAATTTGGGGAGACCCTCTTCCTAGAGGGCAGCATGCTTTACAGACTGAATGATGTATTCATTTTAACGTTTTTTTTTCCCTATTTTGTTGCAGAAGCGTGCAGTAAAGGAAACGTGGCTGCTAACAAACTTCCCCACGGGGTCGCAGAAATATGTGACAAAGGAAATATGACTGCTAACTCTGCTTCACACGTCCAGCCTGGAACTAACATTACCCTCTCGTGCCAGCTGAAACAACTGAAATACAATGAGCAGTGCAAGATAGCTATTTTCTTTAACAGTTCCGAACTAATTATTAATTATGGCACTTCCGTGAGCACCAAGTTTCAAGTCCTGACATATGGCAAGCACATGTTTACGTGCAAGATAGTTTGTGAATACAAGAAAAAACTCATTTGTGGAGTCGATATAATGTCTGGAAGTAAGGAGAATTTCATTATTTCTTGTTCTTAAACGTTTTCTGGGATTCCTCTGAGACTTATGTTAAGAACTAGTATGTGGGTGGCCTTTTCCAGGAAGGGTGCTGTGTTTTATTGGCTTTGTGTCTAAAATATTGCTGGCTGGAACTATGCAACAAAAGGGGGCTTCCACACCCGGATTCCCAGCCACCCCCATGGATGTTGGGATCTGGAGGGCTCTGCGTTCATGTCTGGCCCTCTGCACCCACTGTGTATCACTGTGCAACCTCTGAAAAAGCTAATGTGCTGCTTCACGTGTAGTGGCACTTAAATGCTACCCAACTTCCTCATTTACTATTGTGGAACGAAGGAGTTCCAGTAATTGAAAAAACGAGAGGTGCTGAATGAAACTGCTTGTTCAGAGCAAGCAGAATAATGCTCACTCTCTCCTGTTCTACGCTTGAAACACACCAGGCTCTTCAGGACACAGGAGATTTGCGAGAATAATTCTAAGGAAATTTTAGATTTTCTTCTTGTTGTAGAAGAGCAACTGCTGCAGCAGTAGTCATCTTCTGCATGAGTGCTTTGGTGCCCTATTTTATTTTATTTTTTTTTAAAAATGGGATAATGGTTGACTGCTTCAAGCAAAGCTTGGGGTGCCCAGTCTGATAGTTGTTCAGCACTTGTATTCATTTGGTATCCTTGCAAGTTCACTGCGGGTTTGCTCTCAAGAGACTGCATGATAGATTTGGCTATTTTCACATACAGCGACCTCTGAATACTTTGCACTTACTCGCTTGTCTTTAAAAAACAAGCAAACAAAACCAAACCCCAGCATTTCTTCATATTTCTCCTCTCAACAATTTTAAGGAAGAAACTGATAAGAATATCTGTTTAAGATCCTCCAGATCAGCCAAGAAATGTGTCATGTATCCAGTATGGGACAGATGGCAGTCCTACCTGCACCTGGGATAAAGGAAGGCTTACATACATAAACACTACATACGTAATACAGTAAGTAACACAGGGGAGTAGGCACTTTAATACCTGTAAGAATAACTTAGAGGGTTTTTTAATTTTATTTTTGCACTGTTTGTTACAGATCCAACCTTTTTAGCAAATCACACAAGAGTTGCTTTATGAATCGATCAGTCCAAGGCTGCCATTAACTCTCTCTGCTGAAAAAAACCTTTCCTGTTTACATTTGTGTGTGCTGCACAGCAGTGGTTTACTCACTTCTGGGTTAAGTGGGTAAAGAGAATAAGCCAAGTCATGGCTCCTGTTTTTGAAAGAGATTGTTAATAGTGGGAGTAGTCTTAAAACGGCAGCTTACACCCGCTGTTCTGCAGTGGATTTTCTCTATTTAGTGATTATGTGATTAGCAATGCCTGCAACAGAAAAGCTCTATTCAAGCAAGTGTGTGGTTAGAAAGAATTAATTGACGCTTGCAATCAGCTGGACAGACTGAACTACTGCCTGTTTATTTTT